TTCGGGCTTGAACTGATGGTAAAACTAACGACATTATTAACTGATATTTACTTTGAAAGCTTGAAGCTCGTGATTAAGGGGCGTTACATGGTAAGGGGCGTTACATTTCCGATGCGTGCTTGTGGTGTTCGGCCAGTCACAATGCACTGGGTCAGCTGGCCAATCAGAGCAGACTGCGCTTGTCAAAGGAGGGGGCTTTGTTGAAAACGACGTGTTTGAGAGAGGCGGGGCATAGAGGACCTACAATAATGTACAGTATTTGAAAAATAATGTGTTTTTTGAACATTAAAGCATGTCAACATATTCTGTTACACCAAATACACAAAATAATGATCTTTAAAATAGCATCATATTACCCCTTTAATAATAAAAAATATTAAAACTTTATTCACTTTATTATATAATTTTTTCTTCAATGTTTTAATTTAACAATAAACCTTTGTTGTGCAGTGCTTTCTTTGCCAAAAAATAAAAGGACCTGTTCAATTTTAATTTGATTACATATTAAAAGATCAATTAAATTGTTAATGTTTTATGCCTTTATTTGATTACCGCTGATTATGATAATAAAACAGACAACATACAATTATTGTAAAATTTTTAAAATATGAATAATTTGTTAAGGTTTTATGATTTCAAAATATTAGACATGCTTTTTGATTTTTTTTTTTTTAACAATTTAATTAAACCATTAAAAGAGAAAAAAATATATAATAAAAAATCCAGAAAATTAAAATGGAAAACACAGAATTTGGGGAAAAAAACAAAAACAAAATAGATTCCATAGGGCCCTAAAAATTCAAATTTTGTTAAACTTTTAATAAAATGCTGTTAAATTGTATGCATTTCATGATTTCAATTAATTAGACATGCTTTTTGATTACTAGCATTTTATTTAACCATTAAAACAGAACCCAGAAAAATGAAAAAATAGATTGGAGGAAAAAAAAAAATCCCAGAATTTGGGAAAAATGTTAAAAATATTTCACAGGGCCCTACTTCAAACATGGAGCTGGACTAAGAGGGGCCATAAGCCCCTGGTTTTGAGGGTTAATCTTGAACTGCCCACCTGTTAAGACTGTTGATGAAGTCTCTGATGTCGTCGGGTAAGATGACCCTGTGCTCGCCCATGTCCCGCTGGTTACCCAGGACACACACTGGGATGTGTGTCGGCGCTTTTGGCAACTCCCTAAGGATGTAGTTGAACGTCCTGCAGCAAAGACAGAGTTTGTGATTCATATGAAACATACTTTGACATGTGATTTCGGTAACACTTTATTTTAAGGAGTCCTTGTTACAAGTTACATGTACTTACTATTATAATAACAATTAATTATGCACAATTACATGCAAGTAAACCTAAGCCAAACCCTAATCCTAACACTAACCATATAGTAAGTACATGCTGTTAATTGATATAACTCAGTACTTAAATGTATAATTACACTATAAAAAAGACACATTCAAATAAAGTGTAACCGTGATTTCCTTGTGTAATGCACAATTTACATTTAGACATTCAGCAGACGCTTTTATCCAAAGGAACTTACAAATGAGGACAATGGAAGCAATCAAAATCAACAAAAGAGCAATGATATGCAAGTGCTATAACAAGTCTCAGTTAGCTTAATGCAGTACATGTAACAAGGTTTTTTTTTTTAATCATATAATAAATAAAAAGAAAACAGATAGAATAGAAAAAGAATAGAGCAAGCTAGTGTTAGATGACTTTTTTGCTTTTGTTAATCAGAAGTCAGAAAGTTAGAATTATAATTGTATAATAAATAAAAAGAAAACAAAAAGATAGAATGCAAAAAGATTAGAGAAGCAAGTGTTAGTTTTTTTTTTAAGAAAACAAGCAGTTAGTAAATAGTTGGGCAGGTCATTCCACCTGGAGGGAACATTTATTAAACATTTAATAAAAAGTCTCTTTTGTGTCTCTTTGGGATGGCACAATAAAGCGCCATTCACTTGCAGAACGCAAGCTATTTACCCACACCCACCGCATAAAGCTCTGGCCTCTCCTCCCAAATATTCAAAAACTGTTCCTCTTTCTGGTTTGTCCAGAAACCTGCCATTTTTAAAGTTATTTTCCTAAGCGTGCCCAGCATTTTTTGATAAAAAAAAGTTTTGATAACTTAAATAAAGAATAATAAAGAATGCGCTCTTTCCCATCAACACAGGAATGAACAATTACTTCAACAACTCAATCTAGTTATTCCAATCAAATTCGCAAATGTTTTTGAAGAACCAAATTAAAGGGACAGTTCATCTAAAAATGAAAATTATTTACTTGTATACATTTCTTACTTCTGTTGAGCACCAAAAGAAGATATTCTGAAGACTGTTAACCTAACAGTTAGCTATTGACTTCCATAGTATGGCAAAAAATACTATGGAAGTCAATGGCTACCGTCAACCGTTTGGTTACTAACATTCTTCAAAATATTTTCTTTTGTGCTCAACAGAAGGAAGAAATTCATACAAGTTTGGAACAACATGAGGGTGAGTAAATAACAACAGAATTTTCATTTTTGGGTGAACTATCCCTTTAAGATAGCTAGTAATTCATCACAACTAGAATATCTTTCATTATGTTAGATCATTTTTGTTAAGCAAATGCACAAATAATGGGGCACTGATTAAATTTGGTCTAAACACCAAAAATGTACATGTAGGTGACTACAAGGTTCCCAAGAGCACAAAAGCAGTTGTTAAAGCAAATACTCAGCCCTACCAATAAAGCAGAGCCCAGTTTGCAAACAAGGGTCAAAAAGTAAACACCCATTGACAGAATGCAAGGCAGATCAAATGAGCAGAGAGATAAACAGAGTTAGAACCTTTAAGAGACACTGGGCTGCAGGTTTTGGTTTCATTGCTTTCTTTGTTCCTCGACTCTTCTGAGAAAGAGACGCTCAATGACCTGCTGCAACCCAACGCCTTTTTCTGGCACCTGATCCTGACCACTGATCAGAAAGAGGGACGACAGGGTGGGAATGGAGTGATGGAGGGACAGGAAAAGGAGATGGAGATGGAGAATGAATGAGGGGTTTAGAGAGAGTAAATGTGGGGAAAAACGGAAGGAAAGGCAGATTCCTTACCACTGTTTAGTGATGTCGAACATCATGATCACGCCGTTACAGTTCTTATAAACATCCAGGAACTCTGCGTCGAGAGCCATCTCAGTTTCCGACTGCACCGAGAGCAAAACAACGCCAAGATTACAAAAATTAAATCTCGTTTCCAGCTGAATGAACAACATTAAAGTCAGCTTGCAAGCAGCTGACAGATAACATAATGAGATATTTGAAGATGCCAAATGATTATTACTAAATCAAATGGCAAAACAAAACTTTGAAGTATTATTCACATGGTAATTGTCAAGTAGACTTACACTACAGATCAAAAGTTTGTGGTCAGTAAGTTTTTTCTTTTTTTAAATTAACTTTTATTCAGAAAGAAAGAATTACTTCTTTTGAACTTTCTATTCATCAAAGACTCCAGAATAAAAATGTAGCATGCTTTCAACAAAAATATGAAGCAGCACAACTGTTTTCAACATTAATGATTATAAGAAATGTTTTTTAAGCAGCAAATCAGCATATTAGAATGATTTCTGAAGGATCATGCGACACTGAAGACTGGAGTAATGATGCTGAAAATTCAGCTTTGCATCACAGGAATAAATGACTTTTTAAAATATATATTTACATAGAAAACAGTTACTTTAATTTGTAATAACATTTCACAATATTACTGTTTTTATTACATTTTTTGATTAAATAAATGTAGCCTTGGTGAGCAGAAGAGACTTAGCAACCCCAAACTTTTCAACAGTAGTGTAACTACCTACAAATATTCCTTGTTTAACAAATACCTCCTGAGGTTCATTTTCCAATTTCAGATTCTCTCCACGTCTTTTCCCTTTCCCTGCAGTAGTTGGAGAAACACGGATATTACAATTATTGTGGCAGTACTTCAGTGACTGTGAGTCCGAGATACAAGTAGAGTAATTTTCATATGCATACCCATTCAGTACCACCAAAGCAGCCAAACTAAATTTTTTTTTCAAACCTGAATTTTTTTCACATTTTAGTGAGACCACTGGAAACCTGAATATCTTAAACAACTAGTTTGTAACCGCAATCCAAAAGTAAAATATCACTCTTATTAGTATTAATACTATTATAACATACATTGCATTTAAGGTATACATTTTATCAGTTCATGCATACCCAGGGAAATGAACCCATGACCTTGGCGTTGCTATTGCCATGCTCTACTGGTTTGACACATTACTTAAACATAGCTCAAATATTATATTTTAAGGAGAACAAATTAAGGTATACATAAACTTGCAGTCTGATGCATTACTTTTGAAATGTTTTGGTAGAAAGACATCTCACACCTTGTTCCCAGAAACCACATTATTCAGTATAACGTTAACACATATTATGATAGTATTCAATATCTTATTTCAATATTTACTTGTGCATAAATTAAAAAAGACAAACCTCAACAGCAGCAGCTCCTAGTGCAAATATTTTCATGGTAACCACATTTTACTCCTATAGTTACTATAGTTATTGTTACTACCATAAACTATCATAAATTCATATGGGATCTCCTTATGTCCATTATGACATATGTGTAATATGTCCAATCTTTCTCATATTTTTATTTTTTGATGATAATATTGTAAAACACTTACAATATAGCATTTCCTAAAAAACAAATATGGTTACCATGGTACATTTTTGCAGGTATTAACTACCAATTCACAAAGAGTGTAAAAAGAAAACTCAGGTATGTTAACGAGCAGTATTATTGTTCAATCACAATTTAAACCACAAGCTGAAAAATCAACAGAATTTCCAATTCATGCATCATTTATGAACTTTTAAAAGGGGGCTGTTTGAAATAATGTTTACATTGTGGAAGATCATTCTGACGTCAATTTCAAAAATGAATAAAAAAATCCATTATAAATGAAACATATCACGCCCCCTATTAAAATAAATGTACTGTGGAAAAGATGTGGCCATCAGATTTTAATGCAAGTCCACACTAGGGTCTAATAATAGCACAGGCTACTGAAGGTAACGTCTATTCTGAGCACGGTTTTAAAGTAAAAGAAGAGAGGTGAAGAGCGCACACACACACACACACACACACACACACACAGTTTAATGTTTGACTACTAGATTACTAGTTCTCACCTACACCTTCTGGAAGAGGAAGCTTTTGCCCTTTGAGTATTTGCAGACCACAAAAAAAAGAAGTAAAATATAACATTGCACTGTTGCCTTTAAATATAGATGAAAACATACTTTCAGACAAAACATAATTCAGATGACTTAATCTTTCAAGTGATTCTTTCTAATTTTGTTTGGGATCACATACTGAATAGCTGCACTTGCTAACTTGTACTAACTAGTACTAGTATGTGTGTCATTAGTGCTAGAGTGCTTTCTAAAGACTCACCTTTATCTACCACATCCCAGACTTCAACTTTCACTACATCATCTGTTGCTGTGGTGCAAAAATAAAAGCAAGAACAGAATACAGTCAGAAATATTGTCAACAGGTTCTGATACTTTACAAAAGATGACCTAGTATATTTCTCGTTTCTGATAGGGTAGTCTATTTATATAAATTACTTTAGGTTACTGGCAAGTTCTTTGAAAATAAACCACTTCCCTTCATAAAAGACCACCTAACCAGCGGAGACCCGAAAATGAGTTGCAGGTCTGTTCTGAAAGGGTTGCAGACAGCAGGGTAATGTATTAGGCTGAAATCTAATACCAAATTTGGCCCAAATGTGTTTGGCTGGTAAATCACATGTCAGTTATTGTTTATGCTTTTACAAAATTATACATTTTCTTATTTTTCCCATATTCTGATTTTAAGAACATTTGTTTACATTTTTGGTTCTGTGTTGGTTCACATCTTGATGTCCTGAAGGAAAATCAGTTTTAAACTAGTGATGCACTGAAATAAAACTTCTGGGCCAAAACCGAAAATTCAGGATGCACTTGGCCAAAAACCGAAAATAACCCTACTTTCAAATAGTTTTTTGTATAATTGTATTCATATTATTGCACCAAAATTATAAATTTCTTACTGAATTTTTTTTTTTCCATTTAGCTGAAAAACTGAAAATGAAAATACTTTTTATTTAATAATTAATTAAATGTATTTAATAATCAACAAGTTGCGCAAACACATAAAAACTGCCGTATGTGCAATTTAAGTCAAAATTATTTTTCTACTCCACTTTGATGCTGAAATATAAACATTTACATAGTGGCTGTCATACCGTAACATAATAGATTTATCAAAACATATATTAAATAATGAAGACAACTGGTTAAGTAAACTTATGATATAATATGTAATATAGTGCATATACAGTGGTGTGAAAAAGTGTTGGCCCCCTTCCTGATTTTTAGCAAAATGCTTCTCTCTAGAGTTATTTCATTAGTAGTACAGATAAAGAGATGATCAGTTATTATGCCGCTTGAACTGTTGCGGATGCATCGATCTGTCACGCTACATTAAAGAATGTCGAAACAACATTTATTGTTGACAGATTTTGATATCTGAGACTTTGTTTTATATTAAAAGTAACAAAGCGCAAAGCAAAAAAAAAGTGCTACAATAATGTTTAGTGAAGTTCATGCATCAACCGAAAACAGCACTGACTAAAAGACTGATCTTGAGATTTAAGAAGCCATATTAGTATTGATTAAAATCTATATTGTTAATCCAGCACAGCGTCCATACAGCTGACATGCTTACTTGTAGTTTATCCAGGTTGTGAGCATGAAATAGCCACTGACAAAGTCCATATGCACCATCCGAGTTGAACATCACTGTTTTTCAGTCAATGATTTCGGCCCTCCAAAACTATTTCATGCCAAACTGAAAATTGCTATTTCGACCGCCAAAATTTCAGTGCATGACTAACCTAAACCATGAAGGATGAAGTTATACAGTGCATGAGGTACTCAGTAGCAATGCTTCCCTCACCGTTTTGAAGTATCGCATCAGAAACGAGTGATGGAAACACCAAATTTTGTAAATAAATTCCCTTAATTCGCAAATAAGTTTTTATGCTCGCTTGAGGTGGTTTTAGACTTGTACGAAAAAGGGTTCATGCGAATAATGGGAGATGGAAACGCATTTGCTGAATACATTTCTCCATGCGCATCAAAAAAGTCATGTGACTGTGATATGGAACAGCACAACCTGACTAACCAGTGGACCAATCTCGTTGCACAGCATCCGAAATATTGTAACGGTCATTCTTAAATGCAGTACTTCTCCAGCAGGCATCCAGCTCCGAAAGCAATGACTGCATTTATTGTGTTTCGTCTGCTTTATAATTTATTATATATATGAAAATTATTATATTCAGTGGTTTCTCCTACTGATATTTAGTGCCAGTTTATCAGGAAGTGATGATTTTGTTCCCTTTGACTCGTTGGATGGAAACGGTGCTTATTCGCAAATGTTTTCTGCGATATTCCAAAGTTCAATTCGCAGCTATTGATACTCACTTTTGTAGCTCCAGTGAATGCTGGTGACCTGGATCTCCTGCGTGGGGATGTACTCTTCCAGAAACTTTTTCCCTTGAAGTCGGTGCCAAAGTGCACTTTTACCTGTGTTTCTGTCCCCACGGATGACTATTTTCACTGAGAGAAACAAGCAGAAACGAGAACATTAATATGATCTAAGGAACCCCAAATTAAACAGTGCCAAGTTTCAATGCATAAACAAAGGGAACCGACTGGAAATGGAAAGATCTAAACCAAGACAAAAAGTTTCACACCAGATTTGTACTGTATTTGTATTGAAAAAATTGCACTGATACAGCACAGTGCCGGCTATATATATCAAAATACACTTTTCACAGCTGAAATGCTTGGTATCTTGGGATATCTGCATGTCTAAAAAAAAAAGACACCTCTACCAAGGAGAAGCAACTGGAAAAACAGGCCAGTAGGTGGGTGATCATGTATCATTCATGCATTTTTGATTAACTCAGAGCCACGGAAACAGCACAATGAGTATTCAAAGCCAGATCAATGACGAAACACCAACTGGCTTACTGCTGCAGCATCGCATGTCAAAACACAACTTCTACACAACTCCATCACACCGGCTACAGGCAAAGAAAGAAGGATTCAGTTACTGTACTGTTGCTGTTGTGCGTTTAAGACACAGAGTGGGCTCTTGGTCTTATGACACGTTATGATGTCTCAAATTTCCAATGGACGAATCTTTAACTTTGTGTTTCATAACGGTTTTATGAGGGGGGAAATAAAGAGAAGTTTTTGCAGAAAGAAAATCTAAATTTATTAGCTAGAAAGGCTAATAAAATATTTGAACTGACAATATTTTTTATGACTTAAATACATTTTCATGTCAAATTCACATTACTGTAATGCAAAATAAGTACATAATAAATAAATAAAATATCCCCATTACTAAAATGCATTGTATGACATTTCACCTTTGATTCTCAAAGGTGATTCTCATTGGATTTTCAAATTTTTTAATGTTTTTTTGTTTACTAAAATCAGCATTGATTGCAAGTACAAAAAATACTAATCTATGACTAGTATATATACCTTTTAAATGATGTACTTTGTTTATACACACACACACACACACACACACACACATATATACATATAGTATAATGCATTAGATGTTAACGAATTTTTAACTTTGTGTTTCATAACTGTTTTATGAGGGTAAATAAACAGAAAACGAAGTTGTTGTTTTTCTTAGTTTTTGCACTGACATTATTTTCATGACAATTAAACACATTTTCAAGTCAAATTCACATTACTGTAATGCAAAAAATCGAATAAATCCCATTACTAAAATGCACTGAATGACAGTTTACCTTTGATTCCCAACAGTGACTGTCATTTGCAATACTCTAATGCATTTTTTTTAATCAGCATAAATTGAAAGCAGAAAAAAAATACTAGTCTACAACTAGTATACATACTTTTAAAATTACATATATATATAATTATATTAAATTGTGCATTATTAAATTGTGCATTATACTTTTTGGCATATGGTAATGCATTAGATGCGTTTCATTATGAAAATATCACAATGAAAAATAGCAAGTCCTAAAAAAGACTTCTTGGGCTTTTAAGATATATATACATTTTTAATAAATTCACATTTTTATATTTAACATTTATTGATTAATTTTTTGATTTGTGGATGAAACATGACCAAGACAAGTTCTTGACAGATTTCAGGAGTTTTGTTTCTAATAAAAGCACAATAAATTAAACGAAGTGTTTCACAAATTTCTATTTGATTTTAAATTGTCAACAGTTTAACCTCGCAAAACAAGCGCTGCCGAGTTCTATTCAACAGTATAATACTTTAGACAAACCCCAAAGAAAAACTCACTCAACAAGCCCAAAAGAAAACAATGGATGTCTTCAACACAATCGAAAACTATTTGTGAGAGGCTCTACTCAAAGAAAATCAGATTAAACACGAAGCTCTTACTGTTATATTGTATGCCCTTGGCGAAACGCCTCTGTAGACTCTGGTTCATGGACTGCAGGCCTGCAGGAATATTTCTATCCCTGAGCTGCCCTGCTTCAGAAACCACCAGCTTCTTCAGAGCGGTGAACATCTTGATGAAAGCCTCTTCAACAGTCCAACAATACTAAAGCCTGGTCTTCCAGGGAAACACTCACTGCAGTGTCAAAGATCGAAGACTTCTGAGTTTCTTAACCCAACATATTGCTGGCAGGTGTGACGTGGTCTAAAGGTCAAGAGTGGAGTCTTTATTCAATATATATTGATGCAGATAGCAGATGTTTACTTTCTATTTCAACAGATTACAATCCTAAAATGTGCCATTTTAGCTACTGTAACTGTTGCGATGATATCTGTCCATCCCGGTCTACTGGCATCACCTGTGAGATAAACAACGTGAGCACATCAGATTCATGAATCATCAGTAGAAACAGCCATCAGTTTTACAAAAATTAGATAAATTCGGTCACCATTTACTCACTCTCGTGTCATTTCTAGAGCCCGACCGATATGGGTTTTTTGGGGCCGATACCGATATTAGGGAATTTAAAAAAAAAAAAAAAAAAAAACACTCGATTCGCGTTCAGGAGGGTTCCTCGAGCTGAAGGGATCCCCCGAATCTGGTGCGGATCTAACACGCCCCTACCCCAAAAGGGTCTTGCCCCTATTTTGATAGCTCCGCCCCACATATACGTACACAAATATATAGAATACAGTATATATATATATATATATATATATATAAACAGAATATATATACATAAACACATTTTTTGCAATGCTCACTCAAATGTGGTGATCAAACACTTATAATGATGTGACAGAGATATGTAATGATGGAGGCAGGGCATTTAACAATTTAACAATAAACTTTATTATCCAAAATGAGTCTGAC